GCACTACAAATGTTAAAATGGTGTTTCCAGAACTCTTTGAGGGTGAGGTTTGTGGCTTCAGTCACTTCAAAACATTTCCGGAAAAGTGCCCTTTCATAAAGTTTCTTAAAATTCGCTATGATTTTCTGGTCCATAGGCTGAATTAGAGGAGTGGTGTTAGGAGGAAGGAATTTAACTGTGAGGAATTTATTGTATCTGGGCAACAAATCATCTTCCAAGCCTGGAGGATGAGCAGGAGCATTGTCGAGGAGAAGCACGGCTTTGAGTGGCAAATGTTTCTCCTGCAGATATTTTTCTATGGCAGGGCACACCACTTCATTCACCCACTCCGAAAAAATAAGCCTAGTCACCCATGCTTTTTTATTAGCCTTCCACATCACACACAAATGGGTTTTCTGCACTTTATACTGTTTGAAAACCCTTGGATTTTCAGAATGATACACTAGCAAGGGTTTAATTTTCAAATCGCCACTCGCATTTGAACACAGCACAAGCGTAAACCTATCTTTCATAGGCTTGTGTCCGGGCAAGGATTTTTCCTCCTTGGTAATGTATGTCCTCTTAGGCATTCTTTTCCAAAACAGTCCTGTTTCGTCACAATTAAACACTTGTTGCGGTAGGTATCCCTCAGCCTCTGCAAACTCTTTAAATTCCTCAATAAATCGTCCAGCGGCTGGTTTGTCTGAGCTGGCTGCCTCCCCATGCCTTGTAACACTATGGATACCACTTCTCCTTCTAAATTTTTCAAACCAGCCCCTGCTTGCCTTAAACTCTTTCGTATCTGCATCACTCGTTGCAGGGGTTTTCTTTAGAAGGTCTTCGTGCAATACCCTGGCTTTCTCACAAATGATGGCCTCCGAAACACTATCACCCCTTAATTCCTTGTCGTGTATCCAAATTAATAACAACTTTTCCACTTCTTCAAGTATTTGTGGTCTTTGTTTCGTCATTGTTCTTACTCCTTTTGCCACTTTAGCACTCATAATCTCATTTTTCTTCTTAAGTATAGTGCATATTGTTGATGTGGCTTTGTTGTACTGCCTACAAAGTTCAACAACACGTGTACCATTCTCATGCTTCCGAATGATCTCTTGTTTCTCCTCTATTGTCATCCTCACATGGGCTTTCTTGCCTTGATCCTTACCACTGGCTTTCTTGGGACCCATGGTGAGATATATAATAACAAATTGTATAGTCAAATGACCAAAAATCCAACAAAACACTGAAAATCCGGGTGAAGAATTGATGTGGGATAGTCACTGGGCGCGAGACAATGGTAAACTGAGGGGCGGAGGGGCGACGATCGCCGAACCACCACGCGCTAGGTCGCCCTGAACGCGTATCAACAAACTCGCGTTCCGAGGTAACCCTCGCCTTCCGAGACATATTTTCCGAGGAAATCCTGCTCGTATTCCGAAAAACTCGCATACAGGGACACTCGTGTTCCGAGGTACCACTGTAGGTTTGGATGTTTAGCAGCATTTCGTTTTGCTTAGGTAGCCATTTTGCTCAACTGCCCTTGTTCCGAACTTGGCTGCTGGTTGTGTTTACGTCTGGCAGAACGTTTGCACTCGCTGTACCTATTTACTGTACCTATTGCACGTTTACACCTCCATTGCTTTTACTCCACCGGACGCCTTGTCCGGTGGAGTGAAAGCAAACAACACTTACCAAGAGGGATAAAAAGAAGGCCAAGAACTAAAACTTCCCAAGGAAGAGAAAAGTCATGTGTGTAACACTTGACATTGCAGGCAAGACAGCCCAAACAAAGATGGACTACTCAAGACAAGTATAACACCTAGAAAAGGACATCGGAGGGAATCGAGTACCCAGTGGAGCCACAGAGACAAGATAAAGAACTGTGGTGCATACTCTGGATTTGCTGTGGAAAAGAACTCTGGACTTGCTGTGGTATGTACTTTCCATTGCCCACACATGGTTACGCTCCAGCTGCTGCATACCATTTTGCCTTGTTGCTCTATATTCCAGGTATCCTCCCCTGAATGTTGCCATGGGGACTTTTGGGTGGTGGTCATCCCTCTGCTAGCCAGGGATCTGGTTCTTTCCCAGCTTTCTGGGTTCGAGTTCCTGTTAAATTGGCGGAAGTCCCAGATGGTTCCTTCTTAGGTTTGGACTTGGCTGGGCCTTGGGTGGGTGGGATTCGCAGATTGCATCCATCTCTCTCCCTTCTGCGGCATTGGTCAAAGTTATTTCCCTCCAGATGCTCTACGAGCCTTTTCCTCACGATCTTCTCCATCATTTTGCAAGGTATACAAGTTAGGGAAACTGGCCTGTAGTTCAGTACATCTTGCCTGTCACCCTTCTTGTATATTGGGACCACGTTAGCTGTCTTCCAATTTTCTGGTAGGTCTCCTGTTTCCAGTGACCTGTTATACACCATAGAGAGTGGCACACTTAGTGCTGCTGCACCTTCCTTTAGTATCAATGGTGAGAGTCTGTCAGGCCCAACAGCCTTTGTCACATCCAGCTCCAGCAGACACCTTTTGACCTCATCACTGGTGAGCTCAAATTCCTCCAAGGTTGCTTGGTTTGCCGCCTCCTCATTTAGTGCAGGGGCTTCTCTTTGTTCTATTGTGAAGACCTCCTGGAATCTCTTGTTGAATTCTTCACACACCTCCTTGTCATTCTCTGTGTATCTGTTCTCCCCTTTTTTCAATTTCATCACTTGTTCCTTCGCTGCTGTTTTCCTCCTGATGTGGCTGTGGAGCTGCTTTGGTTGGGTCTTGGCTTTACTCGCTGTGTCATTTTCATACTGTCTCTGCTTCCCTCCTCACTCTGAGGTACTCATTTCTGGCCCACTGGTATCTCTCCCTGCTCTTCAGTGTTCAGATATTTCTGTAGTTTCTCCATGTTCTTTTACTCAGTTGCTTCGCTACCTTGCATTCCTGGTTGAACCATGGGTTTTCTGTTGTTTATCGTTTTTCTCCATTTGGACCGGGATAGACCTGTCTGCAGCTTCCTGGCACTTCTGGGTGACAAAATCCATCATGTCCTGCACATTCTTGTCTCCAAGTTCTGTTTCCCATGGTATTCCCCTTAGGAAGTTCCTCATCTCGTCATATTTTCCTCTTCGGTAATTTAGTCTTTTCCCCTCCGATCCCATCCTTGGATAGGTTATCCCTACCTCCACCAAGTACTCTTTTTTTTTTTGGAGAGGAGAGAAGTTTTGGAGAGGAGTTTTGTTGTGTGTGGATACGTGTGTATTGCCACATGCATGGTGATTAGGTGGCTTCTCTGATGGTGTCCTCACCTGCGGTCTTCATCTCAGCGACAGTATGAAGTCTCCTGGCGGTCTGTCCGCCATTTCCTTTATCTTTGTAGGTGTTGTCAGTGTCTGTGGAGGTGGTTTTGTCCTTTTGACTCTTTTTGGATCTGCATCTCATGCCGAATACTGTCACTTCTTACTGTGCGGAGCTGGCAGAGCCGCTCCAATTTGCGTTCGGCGTGGATGTCCCTTCTGCCCTGTTCCACACGATCTTCCGTGCAATTCTTCACCTCCAGCCTGCTCATGTGCCACTTGAGCTGTCTTGGTCTTTGGCCCGGGTGCTCTCCTCTCAGTTTGTTGTGGCCCCTTTGGGTTAGGGATTGTTTTCTGAATGCCTTGTTTTTGTTGGCTTTGGCCTCTGGAGGTTGGGTTGGGGAGCTTTGTGCTCTTCTCCTGCACAGGGGGTTCCTGCTCCTTGGTCCTGGGGGTTGTTTTGTTCATTTGTAGCCCCCTCCTTCTTTTCTGGTGAAGAATGAGTCGGCTGGCTTCCAGATGGGGTTCGTGGGTTTTTGGGTTGTTAATGCTTCGTTGGTTTGGCCGGGGGTGCATCTTGTTTTGTGTCTTGTGACAGCTTTCCATCGTTACCTGCAGGTCACTGCTTTGGTACCATGGGATGCACTCTGGGTTGTTTCAATTTCCCTGGTTCCCTGTTCCAGGGCTTGTGTCTCTCAGGTTGTCTGCAGGGTTATCAAGTCTAGCCAGGTTGCGGTCAACCCTCGTGCCGATGTTGTAAGTATGCTGCTCTGGCTGCTGTTTTTGGTACTATGTCTTGGGTCAACATTTGGGAACAAGGGTTTTGGAGGTCAAACAGCATCTTGGCCGCCGGATTTCTTGTGACCATTCTGGGGCCCTTCTCCAGCCTAGGGTTGCTTTGGGACATCTGTTGTGGCCTGTTGTCTCTTAATGTAATGAAACTATTTTCTGGCCAAGCCCCGGATTCTCCCTGACACCCTTCCTCCCTCCAATTGGCGGTTTTTCATCCTACGAACTGGGTGGAACAGCTGGCTTGCCTCGTTGGGAGGATAGGGGGTTGGTAGCAGTGTATAATCTGTGTATAATCTCTCTGTATTTGGGGCGACCTGTTAAGAGATTACGACACTTTAAGTATAGCGGGCACGCTAGTTGGATGACGATTTGCTTGTTCTGTTGTTTTCTTTTAGAGAGATTCTTTGGCTCTGTTCGGACGTAGGCTGCAATTTTACCCAATGGGGGTAAACTGGTAAACTCCCCCCTGCTCCTTCTTCCACCTAGCTTCCGGCTCCTAAACGTCTGAGGGTTTCAGAGTTGAGGAGGGGTTTAGCTCGGGATGAGGCTCAGGTGGCTTCGGGGGCTGCTCCTTCCAATTCGAGTGCAGAGGTGGTCGAGCCCGATTTTCCTGCCGAGGGTTCTGGGTCAACCTCAATGACTCCCCTCTCGGAAGCTTTTTCACTGGACTGTGTCTTTTCTTCAGGAGGAGGGGGGGGGAGCTGAATGAATATTTTCTTGTCTATGTATTCAAAGGTATGTTTGAGTATTTTTTAAGTAAGTTTATCTTATTTACCAACTGCTCTAATTTCTGGAGTTTATTGGCTTAGGCTTTTTATTTGAAGTAAAGTTAAGGATGGTGTTAATTTGAATACTGCTCTATGATAGGTAATTAAATTATAGGTATAAATTTACCAACAAATCATAATGCAATGTCTTAATATATAATCTGATGCGACGTTCTGCTCAGCAGGATTACGACAAGCCAGAGGAGTGTACAGTCTGTTGTGACAATTATGACGAAGCCCTCAGACGCCCGCGCACTTTGCCTTGTGGTCATACATTCTGCTCTCAATGTATAGAGACTACGTTCAAGAATAATGAGCTTGTCTGCCCCAGCTGCCGCACCGAGCACATTGTTGCATCTACTTCACGGTTCCCAGTCAACTATGGTATGGAAGCATTTATTCGGAAACTGGGATGTAATGCCACGTCGGAAAGCAGCTCTTCAGCAAAACGTAAACAAGACGGCGCAAGAGGCATCAGCAAGAAGTTACGATCCTTGGCACAGGAGCAGAAGAGCAGCATCAGCAGCCTCATTAGTAACTGTGAAGAGGTACTCAGCCAGATGGGGGAGTATCGCGGTCAGCTGAGAGACTGGAAGACTCAACACCATCAGCTCCAGGACAAGCTTGATGATTTGGCAGAGCAGAACAAGGCGGCAATAGAACTCCTGGAGAGGGAGGATACCAGTGTGGTGGATATGGCCACACAAGTAGAAGAAGGAAAGAAACAGCTAGAAACCATGTTGGGGAACTTTGACACAGTCAACACTAAACACGTTGTCGTCACCACGGAAGAGGTGGAAGACTGGCTCCAGAAGTGCCAGGATGTCTTCCCAGATGTCAACACTGTCCACACCTCAGTCAAGGTATGTCTCTAAATGTTGTATTATGGTTGACCTGCTTTGTGTAGTGGTTCCATTATGTAACTAGTTACTCCCATCTCATGGCTGCATTTTATGCTCTAAGGGGCCAGAAATTGAAAAATATTCAAATTATGTAAAAATTAATAATACAGTACAACCTCGATTCAGTGCACTATATGGGACCCCAGTGCATTGGAGCATTGGATTTGTTGCAAGAGGTGACCTTCAGGAGGCGTTTGCATCAGTGTCTTTTTTTTTCTTGTACACAATAAAAATACATTATATTATATACTCTACCTATAATCATATTATATACTGTACCTATATATTACTACTCTACTAAAAATACTGTGTTACATTGGTTATTTACATTATTGTTGGAGTTATGTCCATCTTGAAGTCTCGTGGAGTTGTGAATGCTGTACAGTAAATACGTACTGTAGTGTATTATGCCGTTAGCACTGTGTTGATTAAGTAGTTCTTCTGTATGTCGAGTACTACAATACAGATTATGAAAACTATTGTACACTAAAATTACTGCAACTTTAATTTTAACACTGTGTACTCACTTAAATTTAACACTTGTTTAAACTGTTCACGCCACACACACTGTTTTTAGATGTTTGCATCAGCTTTGCTGGTGCTCGCTGCTGCTGTGTTGGCTTCAGCTGCTTCTGAGCTGGTGCAGGCTGCTGTTATATTGGTGCTGGGTATGGCTGTACTGGTGCTGGGTACGGCTGTGCTGGTGCTGGGTACGGCTGTGCTGGTGCTGGGTATGGCTGTGCTGGTGCTGGGTACGGCTGTGCTGGTGCTGGGTACGGCTGTGCTGGTGCTGGGTACGGCTGTGCTGGTGCTGGGTACGGCTGTGCTGGTGCTGGGTACGGCTGTGCTGGTGCTGGGTATGGCTGTGCTGGTGCTGGGTACGGCTGTGCTGGTGCTGGGTACGGCTGTGCTGGTGCTGGGTACGGCTGTGCTGGTGCTGGGTACGGCTGTGCTGGTGCGTGCTGGGTGTGCTGGTGCTGGGTACGGCTGTGCTGGTGCTGGGTACGGCTGTGCTGGTGCTGGGTACGGCTGTGCTGGTGCTGGGTACGGCTGTGCTGGTGCTGGGTACTGCTGTGCTGGTGCTGGGTACGGCTGTGCTGGTGCTGGGTACAGCTGTGCTGGTGCTGGGTACGGCTGTGCTGGTGCTGGGTACGGCTGTGCTGGTGCTGGGTATGGCTGTGCTGGTGCTGGGTACGGCTGTGCTGGTGCTGGGTACGGCTGTGCTGGTGCTGGGTACTGGCTGTGCTGGTGCTGGGTACGGCTGTGCTGGTGCTGGGTACGGCTGTGCTGGTGCTGGGTACGGCTGTGCTGGTGCTGGGTACGGCTGTGCTGGTGCTGGGTACGGCTGTGCTGGTGCTGGGTACGTGCTGGTGCTGGGTACGGCTGTGCTGGTGCTGGGTACGGCTGTGCTGGTGCTGGGTACGGCTGTGCTGGTGCTGGGTACGGCTGGCTGTGCTGGTGCTGGGTACGGCTGTGCTGGTGCTGGGTACGGCTGTGCTGGTGCTGGGTACGGCTGTGCTGGTGCTGGGTACGGCTGTGCTGGTGCTGGGTACGGCTGTGCTGGTGCTGGGTACGGCTGTGCTGGTGGGTACGGCTGGGTGCTGGGTACGGCTGTGCTGGTGCTGGGTACGGCTGTGCTGGTGCTGGGTACGGCTGTGCTGGTGCTGGGTACGGCTGTGCTGGTGCTGGGTACGGCTGTGCTGGTGCTGGGTACGGCTGTGCTGGTGCTGGGTACGGCTGTGCTGGTGCTGGGTACGGCTGTGCTGGTGCTGGGTACGGCTGTGCTGGTGCTGGGTACGGCTGTGCTGGTGCTGGGTACGGCTGTGCTGGTGCTGGGTACGGCTGTGCTGGTGCTGGGTACGGCTGTGCTGGTGCTGGGTACGGCTGTGCTGGTGCTGGGTACGGCTGGCTGTGCTGGTGCTGGGTACGGCTGTGCTGGTGCTGGGTACGGCTGTGCTGGTGCTGGGTACGGCTGTGCTGGTGCTGGGTACGGCTGTGCTGGTGCTGGGTACGGCTGTGCTGGTGCTGGGTACGGCTGTGCTGGTGCTGGGTACGGCTGTGCTGGTGCTGGGTACGGCTGTGCTGGTGCTGGGTACGGCTGTGCTGGTGCTGGGTATGGCTGTGCTGGTGCTGGGTACGGCTGTGCTGGTGCTGGGTACGGCTGTGCTGGTGCTGGGTACGGCTGTGCTGGTGCTGGGTACGGCTGTGCTGGTGCTGGGTACGGCTGTGCTGGTGCTGGGTACGGCTGTGCTGGTGCTGGGTACTGGTGCTGGGTATGGCTGTGCTGGGTACGGCTGTGCTGGGTACGGCTGTGCTATGGCTGTGCTGGGTACTGTGCTGGGTACGCTGTGCTGGTGCTGGGTACTGTGCTGGTGCTGGGTATGGCTGTGCTGGGTACGGCTGTGCTGGGTACGGCTGTGCTGGTGCTGGGTATGGCTGTGCTGGTGCTGGGTACGGCTGTGCTGGTGCTGGGTACTGTGCTGGTGCTGGGTACAGCTGTGCTGGTGCTGGGTACGGCTGTGCTGGTGCTGGGTACGGCTGTGCTGGTACTGGTGCTGGCTGGGTACGGCTGTGCTGGTGCTGGGTACGGCTGTGCTGGTGCTGGGTACAGCTGTGCTGGTGCTGGGTATGGCTGTGCTGGGTACGGCTGTGCTGGGTACGGCTGTGCTGGTGCTGGGTATGGCTGTGCTGGTGCTGGGTATGGCTGTGCTGGGTACGGCTGTGCTGGGTACGGCTGTGCTGGTGCTGGGTATGGCTGTGCTGGTGCTGGGTACTGGGCTGTGTGCTGGTGCTGGGTACGGCTGTGCTGTGCTGGTGCTGGGTACGGCTGTGCTGTGCTGGGTACGGCTGTGCTGGGTACGGCTGTGCTGGGTGCTGTGCTGGTGCTGGGTACGGCTGTGCTGGTGCTGGGTACGGCTGTGCTGGTGCTGGGTACGGCTGTGCTGGTGCTGGGTACGGCTGTGCTGGTGCTGGGTACGGCTGTGCTGGTGCTGGGTACGGCTGTGCTGGGTACGGCTGTGGGGGTGCTGGGTACGGCTGTGCTGGTGCTGGGTACGGCTGTGCTGGTGCTGGGTACAGCTGTGCTGGTGCTGGGTACGGCTGTGCTGGTGCTGGGTACGGCTGTGCTGGTGCTGGGTACGGCTGTGCTGGTGCTGGGTACGGCTGTGCTGGTGCTGGGTACGGCTGTGCTGGTGCTGGGTACGGCTGTGCTGGTGCTGGGTACGGCTGTGCTGGTGCTGGGTACGGCTGTGCTGGTGCTGGGTACGGCTGTGCTGGGTACGGCTGTGCTGCTGGGTACGGCTGTGCTGGTGCTGGGTACGGCTGTGCTGGTGCTGGGTACGGCTGTGCTGGTGCTGGGTACGGCTGTGCTGGTGCTGGGTACGGCTGTGCTGGTGCTGGTACGGCTGTGCTGGGCTGGGTACAGCTGCTGGTGCTGGGTACGGCTGTGCTGGTGCTGGGTACGGCTGTGCTGGTGCTGGGTACGGCTGTGCTGGTGCTGGGTACGGCTGTGCTGGTGCTGGGTACGGCTGTGCTGGTGCTGGGTACGGCTGTGCTGGTGCTGGGTACGGCTGTGCTGGTGCTGGGTACGCTGCTGTGCTGGGTACGGCTGTGCTGGTGCTGGGTACGGCTGTGCTGGTGCTGGGTACGGCTGTGCTGGTGCTGGGTACAGCTGTGCTGGTGCTGGGTACGGCTGTGCTGGTGCTGGGTACGTGCTGGTGCTGGGTATGGCTGTGCTGGTGCTGGGTACGGCTGTGCTGGTGCTGGGTACGGCTGTGCTGGTGCTGGGTATGGCTGTGCTGGTGCTGGGTACGGCTGTGCTGGTGCTGGGTACGGCTGTGCTGGTGCTGGGTACGGCTGTGCTGGTGCTGGGTATGGCTGTGCTGGTGCTGGGTACGGCTGTGCTGGTGCTGGGTACGGCTGTGCTGGTGCTGGGTACGGCTGTGCTGGTGCTGGGTACGGCTGTGCTGGTGCTGGGTACGGCTGTGCTGGTGCTGGGTACGGCTGTGCTGGTGCTGGGTACGGCTGTGCTGGTGCTGGGTACGGCTGTGCTGGTGCTGGGTACGGCTGTGCTGGTGCTGGGTACGGCTGTGCTGGTGCTGGGTACGGCTGTGCTGGTGCTGGGTACGGCTGTGCTGGTGCTGGGTACGGCTGTGCTGGTGCTGGGTACGGCTGTGCTGGTGCTGGGTACAGCTGTGCTGGTGCTGGGTACGGCTGTGCTGGTGCTGGGTACGGCTGTGCTGGTGCTGGGTACGGCTGTGCTGGTGCTGGGTACGGCTGTGCTGGTGCTGGGTACGGCTGTGCTGGTGCTGGGTACGGCTGTGCTGGTGCTGGGTACGGCTGTGCTGGTGCTGGGTACGGCTGTGCTGGTGCTGGGTATGGCTGTGCTGGTGCTGGGTACGGCTGTGCTGGTGCTGGGTACGGCTGTGCTGGTGCTGGGTACGGCTGTGCTGGGCTGGGTACGGCTGTGCTGGTGCTGGGTATGGCTGTGCTGGTGCTGGGTACGGCTGTGCTGGTGCTGGGTACGGCTGTGCTGGTGCTGGGTATGGCTGTGCTGGTGCTGGGTACGGCTGTGCTGGTGCTGGGTACGGCTGTGCTGGTGCTGGGTACAGCTGTGCTGGTGCTGGGTACTGGCTGTGCTGGGTACTGCTGGCTGGGTACGGCTGTGCTGGTGCTGGGTACGGCTGTGCTGGTGCTGGGTACGGCTGTGCTGGGTACGGCTGTGCTGGTGCTGGGTACGGCTGTGCTGGTGCTGGCTGTGGCTGTGCTGGGTACGGCTGTGCTGGTGCTGGGTACGGCTGTGCTGGTGCTGGGTACGGCTGTGCTGGTGCTGGGTACGGCTGTGCTGGTGCTGGGTACGGCTGTGCTGGTGCTGGGTACGGCTGTGCTGGTGCTGGGTACGGCTGTGCTGTTGATTTTCTGCTACTAGTTCGTGGAAAAATATTGACTCATTTTCATTTGTT